CCATTTCTTCTCCTCGCAGCCTGCGCCTCTTCTTTGTCCAGGAGAAGCAAGCGGGGCAGCCAGCCTACATCATGCTAGATTCACTGGCCGACGTCTTCAAGTGCCTCTCGCCCGCCCCGGTGCTCCACAAGGATGATGCCCCCCTGAGTGGACGGGTGAGTCTTCTGGGCAGCATTTCGGCGTGTCCCCATCGACGAGGATGGGGGCAGAGGGTGTGGGCGAGCCGGACCCTGCGGGACCATAACCCCGATACCAAGCACCTGCAGGTCGTCATCCTGGAAAAGGCAGTGGTGGGCGTGTCGCCTGAGGTCCGAGTCTTCCACAACTGGGAAAAGGTGGGTAATGCCCTGCATGTAGAGGGTGCCCGCCTGGTTTGAAATGTGCTGAGTTTCAGGCCACCATGTGCTGTGGCTGGGGGGCCGGCAGCCTGGCACTGGGCTAGGGTTGGGCCCCTCTACACAGCCATCCACACATTCTCCTGCGCAACGAGGACCACCCCCTATCCTTCCGTCACCGACCGACGGCGGCCTTTGCTCACCTCGACGCCCCTTGCCATCTCCGCAACCGCTCCCCGCAGGACCTGAAGGAGAACTGGAAGGAGCCGCCGCGTGCGGCGATGCAGGTGTACCGCCAGCGCATCGCCGACTGCTTCGGCTTCCCCTTCGACCAGCGCTCCGCCGCCGACCGCCCGCTGCACGTCCTATTCATCAACCGCCACTACGAGGAGGGGCGCACCGTGCTCAACGCCGCCAAACTGGCGCATCAGATCCGGTCCATGTCCGAGTTCCGCGCCTTCCCCGGCGCGCGCCTGGACATCGCCTACCTGGAGTCCGAGCAGTCCATCCGCGAGCAGGCCGCGCTGTTCTGGAACGCCTCCCTCCTCATCTGGCCCCACGGCGCCACCATGTCCCACACATTCTTCCTACCACAGGTTTGGTCCGGCGATCTTCTTCTCTGCTTTGTGGGTTGAGGGAGGGGGCAAGCAAAGGGACAGATGGGGAAAAGGGGATGAAGGAATGAGGAGGAGGCAAGCAGTGGCTGCAAGACGGCCGCCCTGGCGCCTGGGTGCCCTGCAAGCTGCGACCGCGCCCCGGCAGCATGCACGGCGTTCGTTTCACACAACACAGGCGCCCTTGTCCTCCCCGCTCACGCCTGCACGCGTCCCTGCGCGCCCTCACCGCCGCCATCGCAGGGCGCCCAGGCCATTGAGGTGGTGCCCTGGGTGCAGCAGGACAAGGCCAACCTTCCCGAATGGGTGCAGGGGGCGCACCGTGCTCAACGCCGCCAAACTGGCGCATCAGATCCGGTCCATGTCCGAGTTCCGCGCCTTCCCCGGCGCGCGCCTGGACATCGCCTACCTGGAGTCCGAGCAGTCCATCCGCGAGCAGGCCGCGCTGTTCTGGAACGCCTCCCTCCTCATCTGGCCCCACGGCGCCACCATGTCCCACACATTCTTCCTACCACAGGTTTGGTCCGGCGATCTTCTTCTTTTCTTTGTGGGTTGAGGGAGGGGGCAAGCAAAGGGACAGATGGGGAAAAGGGGATGAAGGAATGAGGAGGAGGCAAGCAGTGGCTGCAAGACGGCCGCCCTGGCGCCTGGGTGCCCTGCAAGCTGCGACCGCGCCCCGGCAGCATGCACGGCGTTCGTTTCACACAACACAGGCGCCCTTGTCCTCCCCGCTCACGCCTGCACGCGTCCCTGCGCGCCCTCACCGCCGCCATCGCAGGGCGCCCAGGCCATTGAGGTGGTGCCCTGGGTGCAGCAGGACAAGGCCAACCTTCCCGAATGGGTGCAGGCCATCCGTGACGCGTTCGGCCTGCGCATCAAGCTCTACGACATCCAGAACCGGGAGCGGCCGCGTTCCATGTTCAACCAAGACGTAGGGCGGTGGAGGGGAGTGGGGGCGGGGTGCGGGGCGTGCATGCGGGGGGTTCGGGGGGCACCAGCGCATGTGCACAGCCCAGGAATGGTAGCCACAGCCACGGCAGAATCAGGAGGTGGCAGGGCCCTGCACAGAAGTCCATGGCGCTGTGCATTTGAGTCACCATCAACTCCCCCTGCCTACCCACACAACCGCCGCGCCCTCCTTTCCACCCCCAAACACATCAGAAACTGCTGGAGTACGAAGAGTACCGGCGCCTGACCTCGGACCAGAAGATCGCACTGCTGGAGCGGGGGGAGTGCCCCGCGGGTGTGGACGCCTTCCTCTGCCCCTTCTGGTGGAACCACTGGAAGGTGTCGGTGAACTTCGACTGGGCGGCGCTGGAGCCGGTAGTGCGGCAGGCCCTGCAGCGCCTCAAGGCGGGGTGGAACGAGGAGCCTGCGCCCAGCAAGCCCAAGACCCTGCGTCGGCGGGCGGCCCCGCCCCCTTCGAGGTCCCCGAGCACGCACCCCGCGCGGGCGCTGGCCCAGGTGGAGAGCGGCGCCGGCGCCGGAGGGACGGTGGGGAATGGTGCGCCGCCGGCAGCGACGGAGGCGCCGGCAGCGACCGGCACGCCGACAGCGACCGGCACGCCGGCTGTCCCGGGCGCAGCGGTGGCGGCCGCCACGGCCCCCGCGGTGTATGACTGGACCACGCACGGCCCGGCTGCGACCGCACGCGATGAGGCGACGGGGGTGCCCCTGTCGTCCTTCACCTGCGTTTACGACGACGGGGCGGCCGCACGGCGCTACTGCGTGTTCCGGAACCTCGTCACGCACGGCGGCGTCATCTACTACATCTCACGTGCGCTGGAGTGTGTGTGTGTGGGGTGGGGGGGGGGTTGATGTTTGTACGGGGGGCAGGACGGGAGGGAAGGGGTGTACTCGGGGGAAGGGTTGGGAGGGTTCGGCGCCCACTGGCTCCGGCTGGTTGTCGGGAGTGATGAGGGAGACTCGTGGCGCCGCCTTGCTGCCAATCCTTTTCGGCCTGCTCC